TAATATTTTACAATTGAAATAAAATGAAGAATTTAATTATTTTAGAGTAGTGCTTTTAATAATTATAAATGTGATGAATATTATTATATTCAAAATTATATTAGTACTTTCTATTCTATTTTCTAATGAAAATAAATGTTTAATAAATCACTTAAAAATTGTAGTTATAAAAAATTAATTTTAAATATCAATATTAATATGGATATAATTATAAAAAAAAAGGAAAACGAAATAAATGTATATTAAGTAAACCATAAACCATTTAAAAGTTTATTAAAAACATAAATTTTATTGACAATTATTTAGAGTTACTATTTAATAATTGTTCTGTTTTTTAGTATACTTATGAAGAGTTTTATAATAGAAAAATTTATATTAACTTCTAACTACTATTGAAATTAGCAGACGTTTAAAATTATACTTCAAAATATATATATCATTTCAAAACACATTAATGCAATATGAATAAAATATATTGTATAGAATTTCTATAGATGTATGTATATATTATATTTTACACATAATGCTTAAGGCTTGAGTGAAGGTAAAAAAATATATCATTCCAAAGCATTTAATATTTTCAAAGCCTTAAGTAAACTTAAACAAAAATCCACAAATAAATTAAAAGAAACCCAATGAAATTTTTCGAAAGTTATTCCCAGCTGAATTACATATATATTTGTTTGCTTTTTACGAAGGGGAAGCACAATACTGATAAGAAATAAAACAGACCTATTCAATTATATTTAATATTATTAATATGAATTTTTTTTATTAAAATATATGATGTTCTCGATGATATTTGGTCATTTTTAATGTGAATTTTGTATAAAAATAATTAGCGATCTTTAGCTTGATCAGTCAACATCTATAAGTAAAAGCGAATGTATCGCAATGCATCTATTCAAGTCTATTTTTATTATAGCACTGGTGCTTTTTGCTATTATTTCACATATGGTAATAGCCGCACCAGAACCTAAGTTTAACACGGGAAGTAAACATGGAAATGGCAGACCACAACCTAGACCGATTTCACCGAGACCATCAAAACCTTCATTTACAAGACCAAGGCGACATTTTTGAAATTGTGTTTTAAATAATAATATCTAAATAAAAATATTTCTTTATTAAAAAGAAATAGTAAAAAATTTTTATTGTTTGTTTTTGTTAAAGCATTTTATTTATAATCTCTTTATAATATAATTGTTTTTATTTTGAAAGTGATATTAGTAGTCATATAATGGAATATAAAAAGATAAATTTGAATGAGATTTTCAATTACACATTTTAAAAGTTGAGAAACTAACAAAATTGTAGATAAATTATTATTAGTTTCTATAATATAATGTATTTTATGAACATTAAGACAAAACTTACTTCTAGTGTCTAACATATGTCCATAGCACGATACATATATCCATGCAGCTTTTACATATATATACATATATAATTTCATATATATCTATATATGTTATATATACATTATACATATATATAATTTTATACGCATTACATTTATTGTACATACAGTTTTTACTGATATATTTTAATTTTATTTACAATTAAAATAAAAATTCCAAAATATGCACAGTTATCTTGTCTCTCCAAATCTACATGGAGCAAACTTTAAAAGCCAAACTCAATATATGCTTTAAAAGCTTTAAAAATTATGTGAAAAACTACATCAGCAAATTTGTTCAACTCAGAAAGTATATAGTACTTTAAAATGATCGATTTTAATTGAAAATAAATTAATCGGCAACTTATATGAGCTGCGATGTCCGAGTGGTTAAGGAGATGGACTTGAAATCCATTGGGCTAAGCCCGCACAGGTTCGAATCCTGTTCGCAGCGAATTGTGTTTTTTTTATAAATTTAAACAATAAAAATATTTAAACAAATAAAAAAAAAAGTTATATAGTTTCGACAAATAAAATACAATAACAAATACTACATCTTTCGAGTATAGCTAAAATGAACAAATTAAAATAAATTATGCATAAATTATATAAATAACGTATAAATTATATATATTATGCAAAATTAAAAAATTTATATAATAAAAAAAAAATTATTTAAACAAAAAAATGTCCGCTGCGGACAGGATTCGAACCTGTGCGGGCAGAGCCCAATGGATTTCAAGTCCATCTCCTTAACCACTCGGACACCGCAGCTGTGTCTGACAAGTTGCAAAAAGACTAATAAATGAAAAATGTTTATCTTATAAAATATTAATAAAAATATAAAATTTTATTTTTTAAATAAATGATTTTTTTTATTTTATTAAAATATTTTTTACAATTATAGTTTTTTATGTAAACATATCACAAAACATATATACATAGTAAGTTCAATATGTGTATATGTTTATTTTTAATTAAAAAAAAACGAGTTTCTAAAACCGACTGGGTCCAAATACTGGTGGCTTTGGTCTTTGTGGTGGTAAAGTGTATGGACGTTGTGGCTTGAAGACTTGTGGCTGTGGTGCAGGATCTGCTGCTGCAAACTGTAGAACCGCCATAATTGCCAATGAAATAAATACGAACGATTGTAAGAACTTCATTTTGATAAGTTGCTGCTAAAACTTGACTATACTCTTTTGAATCTAGAAAGAGCTTATATACCTTTAAACATTGCAACTGTGTCATCTGTGTTCTTTATCAGTGACGGTATTCCCCCTGTTAGAGATAAGCTTTTCGTCATGCATTGAAATGTAAACATTAAGAGTAAATATTTTATGTGATTCAAAAGGAATCACAGCAATTAGAATAAAAATAACTAAATAAAAATATGTAAATAATTTCTTCATTCAAAAGTTTTTATTAAAACAATTCAATATTTCTCAGAGGGGGTTTTATCAATTTTTCACAAATTCATAAATTTACTGAACCATCTCTTTCTTTCGGTTTCTATCTGATAGAGCATTAATATCATATATGCATAAACATAGATTTTAAAATAAATTTAAGAAAGAGGAAATAACTAAGGAAGTTATATAAGGTCTGTTCCACGAACTACACGTTGAAAAACACAAGTAAAGTACAAACTGAGAGCGTAACACAAATAAAGTGTTAAATTACTCTCTTTACACAGATTTTAATGGAACAGCTTTGTGTAAAAGCTGTTCCATAAAACAGCACTGGTGTGCTACCCAAATAAATAATACAAAAATTTAAATTCAAACCGAAACAGCTGATTCACACATCCACACAAATTTTACTTAAAATAAAATACGAGTAAAGTCTGTGTAGCATTTTTAAATTTCAACAGGGATGTTACGCTCTCTCAGATGCTCTCATTTACTCAAAAATTTGCTGGTAGAACGCACTTGTGTTTACATAGTGTTACTTAAAGTTACTACTCGTAGTTCGTGGAGCAGACCTATTATATTTATACCTTCTTCAAGTTAAAGTTTACCATATGTCTAATGATAGTTATTCATATTAGAGATATCCTCTGTGTTCTTTTAGAAACGACAAGCTTTATATTATTACGTAGCAAGTTATATTTGCTATTATTTACATAAAAAACTGTGAGTATAAAAATTCAATTGCGTAGTAAAATAAATGCATAATTTAATAATATTTTCTGTCAATTTTTTAGAAATAAAAGTTGAAGAGTTTTCTTGATTTCAAAGTCGTCTACCATGATATATTTATACTTTTAGTAAGCTAGGTCTGTTTATTAATTTGGTAAAACTCAATTTAGGGTGTTTACATTACCCTAAAACTGATTTTAAGAACCTTAAAACCAGTTTTAAGACGTGTGCGAGTTAGGCTAAGTTGCGTTCTAAATGAGAAAATTTTAAGTTGTGCCGAAAATGTAGTGATGTGTCGATACGTGTCGAAAATGTAGTGATGTGTCGATACGTGTTCAAAAAATGGCTAAATGTGTGCAGTGCAAAAAATCCCAAGAAAAGTCCCATTTGGTTTAGCATCAACTTAGCCTAACTCGCACACTTCCTTAATACTCCCATAAAAGGGGCAATTATATTATAATTGATAAATTGATTTGTTGACATATCCAAGAAATACCATTTATTATGATTCAAACTTTTGATATAAAATAACTTGGTTTTTGTGATCATCGTTATTGCCAAAAATTTGTTTAATAATATCTTCTCTGACTACTATTTGGTCATTGCAACACAAATAAGACTAAAACAAAGTCTGCAAACGGCTCGACTTTCTATTGTGAATAGTACTTTTCTGTAAAGAGCAGCATAAAACGCCGGCCAACATTATAAATATTGTTTTGAAAGTAAATTACATATTTAAAAATGGTTTTAATAGCTCCAATATCTTTGCCAATAGAAGATCTGATGTATACATCAGAAAATGTTCAGTTGAAAATTGATACTAAAATCATCGGTAGTGGTACAATTTATATCAGAGAGAGGTATGATGTTGGCATTGTTAAAAACTATTATATATACAAAAAAGTTTTTTTTTTCAGTTGCCTATCTTGGCAACCAGTAAGCGCTCCTCACGGCATTTCAATACCATGGAAACATATTGGTGTACATGCGAAAGCATCAGATCCAAAGAAATGTATTTATTTAACACTTAATCACAAATTAATTTGGCCAGGACCATATGAAGCAGATGTAGCTGGTAACGGACATGCTAATCTAAATAACGAACAAATGAATCAACAAGATGCTAATGATGATGATGAAGGTAACGCTTCGGATGAAGGTGATTCTGCTGGGACTGAGTGTTGGTTCGTACCAACTGATGCTAGCGTTGTAGATGCTTTATATTTGCGTATGTGCGATTGTCAAGCATTGCATCCAGACTCTAATGACAGCGTTTCTGAAGAAAGTGATTTCGATATGAATAGTATTGATGAGGACAATGATGATGATGCCGATTTAGGACCAATGAATGATGCTAATGATGTTAGACATGCACAAGGAAGCATGCGCAATTTAAGTCTAGAGGATAATCGTTTTGCCGATGCAGACTGAATCTAATCTAACATACTCACATAGTTTTCAATTGTACAATTTATTTGAAAATAAATAATTTATAATAAAAACAATCAAATTTGTTAAAATATTTTTGCAACATGAAAAAGAAAAACGAATCAGACTTTATAATAATGTATTAACAGTTTTCTTTTGCAGAGTTTTTTTCCTTTTTTGCTTTTATTTCAGCTTGTACTTCGGCTTCTGATATAGGTTTTGAAAGCTGTAAATTCAAAATTAAACATTAATTAACAAATTCGATTGTTTATCTAACTTTTACTAACCTCTGATGATATATCTAGTATATGTAGAACTTGTTTATAAGGATCTGCTTTCGTAGGAATTTTATCGTAATTCCAATAGGTGAAGTCTTCAAAGCAACCTGTTATACGAAGTTTTCGATCTGCGTCTTCATCGAGCGGTTTATTTGTCTCTTGTAAGACTACTGCCTTAAAATTATCCGGTACTGTTGAAACTTCTCCTTGTAGAGGAAAACCGCGTAAAGCATTACTTAGACACCCATGTTCATGCTTTGTATAATTATTAAAATAGTCATCTGCGTTAGTTTCACCCTCACCATCTATTTTTGCTGGGAAATAATGAATTTTTAATTTCTGATCTAATTGCTTTTTGTTCAACTCAATTGTGATAGACATAATAAACAAGTATGAGAACCGACGATACATCAACAAACAATAAAACCGAGTACACAATAAAAAAGCGCAAAAGCAAGGTTGGTCAACAGCTGATTTTGTAAATAGCAATTAACCATTCACAATTTAACTAATTATTTATTTACCAATAATTGTCATTCACAATTAATGACAAAAAGTGTTGAATTTCGGTTCTGTTTTATATGGAGAAGATATCAAAATAAAAAATTAAATTATTATTTTAATTAAAGCCCAAAAAAGTCAAAAAAAAACAATTATATTAAATACATACATATATAACATTATACGTTTATTATTTGTTATATGAGGTCACTATATTATAATGTGTGAACGGTTTATATTATTCTACTTGTA